CACCAACACCACTGGCAGCAGATGACTCACCAACACCATCACCAACACTCAACAGTACGAGTTATGTACGGACAAAATCCTTCCAGACAAAAAGCCCAAATGAACATATTCTCAATGGGGATTTTTTTTGTCCAACGGTTAAAGTCCAAATAATCATATATACGTATCGGACAAAATCCCTATTCTGTATGGGGTTTTGTCCAGCCGCTTACTTGACCAATGGCCAGTTCTTCATCTCTCGCCTCGCGGTTTGTAGTCAATCCTTACACCATCAGACTTCTTTATCCCTACGATTTCTTTCACCTACTTTCAATATTCCTATTTCATTCTCTCTCACCTATTTCCACTAACAGATTTCCTTTATCCAATTTCCATAACCAATCTCCCCGCTGGTGGACACTCTTGCATCCTTCCTTCCCTCCCTCCTTCCTTCCTTCCCCCCCCCCTCCCTCCCTCCCTCCCTCCTTCACACACTAGAGGCAATTTTTCTTGCTCTGGTAACCTTTGGTATGGGGAGTGAAGGGGGGAAGTGGGAGGGAGGGAGAGAGGGGAGTGATGGAGCAAGGAGTGGGCAAGAAGGAAGTAAGGAGGGAATGAGGGGAAGGGACCAAGGAGGAGGGAATGAGATGAAGGGAAGAAGGAAGGAGAGAATACAGGGAGAGAGAGGGAGGGAGGGACACCCTTCCATTTTTTTTCCCCAACTCACTTACTTAATGTACAGCTACAATATACTGTATACTGTACTTTAAACTGACTTAAATGTAGCTTATAATTCAGCTAATATGGCTTAAGTACCGGATTATATTGACTTCATGTAGGTCACTTAGCATAAACATAACCTAATATATGTACTTTATATCTATCAACTTTCATCTCTATATAGTAAGTTAAATAGAGGTTTAACTTTATCATTCAGGTCTTGAGAAATCGTAAATAAAGATTCATTTACCACCACCATCACCACCTGTTGTCGCCTCTACACCACCACCACCACCACCACAACCGCTGACCTATATTAACTCTTGGCCCCCAACTCACTCAAGGTATGGAGACGTGTGAACAGGAGTAAGTATAACAAAAGGTAGAAGTTATCTGCATAGTCTGTACAAGGTCGACTCTTTTAACACTGGCTCTGTGGTTTTTCAAGGTAACGCGTAATACTGTCAACTTTACGGGTCATAGTGTGGGGAAAACAGGTTGCATTATGGATGTTATGGCTTGTATTGAGGATTTAGGTAGTATTGTGGATGTTGTGGGCCATATTATGGACAAACGGGTTGTATTGTGGATTTTACAGGTTGTAATGTTGATGTTATGGGTTATATTGTAGATATTTGGGGTTGTATTGTAGATATTACGGGTTATATTCACGATAATAATGTCTCCCCCCCCCCCAGAAAAGGTTCAAACCAATCACACTACATTAAGTGGACATATTGTAGAGGTTAATATAATGCAACATAACACTTCAAGGCAACTAGTTCACACACACACACACACACACATATGAACGAGGGGCAAGTAAAGATATACCATGGCCGACATTTTAGCGATGCTGGGAATATTGACATTTGGCTGCAGGATGCGTAGGAGTGTGTTGGGTGGTGGTGGTGGTGGTGGTGGGGGGGGTAGGTAGGTAGAACACTCCCTTAGTAAGAGTAACGAAGGACACGAGTGTTTCTGGTGGGTGTATACAATAGTCCCGTTACACACACAAACAACACCAATAACCTAACCTAACCTAACCTAACCTAACCTAACCGAACCGAACCGAACCTAACCTAACCTAACATAACCTAACCTAAGAGTGGACGTAGGGTAGTTAAGACACAACACTGTATATACTAAGCCTTCAGTACACAGGGAAGCAACATAGCCGGTACTGCACTCGATCGTCTTCACTTCCCCCAACTGTAAACTTAGGTAGTCTCCCGGGATCGACCCAGTGACCCTTAGGACTGGAAGGGAGTGTTTATTCCACCCGGCCTCCGCACCTTTGTAGCCAAGTAAAATTGTTGAAGTGCAAGAAAGCATCACATCAGGTATTATTGGATCACTTTATGGTTAGGTTAGGTTAGGTTTAGGTTTGGTTAGGTTAGGTTTGGTTAGGTTAGGTTAGGACTACTAGTGTATGTTGCTGCGCTATCTGGGTGGGGGTTGGGTTAGGTTAGGTTAGGTGAGGTTACCGTAAAGATATTTAATCACTAGGGGATATAAATTCGGAGTATTTTTGTTTACTAATTTTAGAACACAATAAATTAATTAATATTTTTAAATACACAGAATCCGAAAAAAAATAGTCAAGAGAACCGTCTTTAATACTACACAAATATATAAGAATTAATCCCATTATCATTAGTTGTGAAAAAATAATAATAATAAAATTTAAATTGTGAAATTACATGGTAGTAAAAGGACAGTGTGGTGGTAATTATTTATTTATGAACATACGATTATTTTAATGAAGTATTGACAACAGTGATACTGTCATTGGCAGTCATCCACACACACACATACACACACACACACACACACACACACACACACACACACACACACACACACACACACACACACACACACACACACACACACACCTTTATATACGCGTCGAATTTGTTCTAGTTATTTATATCCAGGTGGGTCAGCTCACCTGGACGTACACAATATAGCGACCTTCACCTATGTTCCCCATATATGACACCTACTGTACCAGGAAAAGGTTACAGATATTCCTGTATCGCATTGTAACTATATTTAACTATTTGCACTCAGAGTCACACCGTCGGAATGTGAGTTCAGAAAGTTCAACAAAACCTCCAGGAAGAAGAGAGTCGCCATTACATCATATCAACAGTTGGACCGCTAAGGGTTCCAATTATTGAGTAACGATGGAATTCCGTATCGCCCCCGTCCCTCCTTCCACCAGAGCTTATTTCACCTGGAAGAGTAACCATCTATACCTGGGAGATTAGGTTAGGTTAGGTTAGGATAGGTTTGGTTAGGTACAAAAGGTACAACGCTTAATACGACCGTCGGTGTATTATCATCCGCTTAATACGACCGTCGGTATATTATCATCCGCTTAATACGACCGTCGGTATATTATCATCCGCTTAATACGACCGTCGGTATATTATCATCCGCTTAATACGACCGTCGGTATATTATCATCCGCTTAATACGACCGTCGGTGTATTATCATCCGCTTAATACGACCGTCGGTATATTATCATCCGCTTAATACGACCGTCGGTGTATTATCATCGTCGGTGTATTATCATTAATACGACCGTCGGTATATTATCATCCGCTTAATACGACCGTCGGTATATTATCATCCGCTTAATACGACCGTCGGTATATTATCATCCGCTTAATACGACCGTCGGTATATTATCATCCGCTTAATACGACCGTCGGTATATTATCATCCGCTTAATACGACCACAATGATAAAAAAAAATAGAGTTATGGAACTTTTAACACAAATTTATTTAAATACCGCTACATGTGAAGGGGGAGTGAGGTACTAGCTGTCTCACCTGTCTCGACATTATAGCCTTCAGGTAAAAGTGGTGTACTGTATGTATCTAGTGTTCAGTGTAGTGGTATCTAGTCAACTTACAGTGTTCAGTGTAGTGGTATCGAGTCAACTTACAGTGTTCAGTGTAGTGGTATCTAGTCAACTTACAGTGTTCAGTGTAGTGGTATCTAGTCAACTTACAGTGTTCAGTGTAGTGGTATCTAGTCAACTTACAGTGTTCAGTGTAGTGGTATCTAGTCAACTTACAGTGTTCAGTGTAGTGGTATCGAGTCAACTTACAGTGTTCAGTGTAGTGGTATCTAGTCAACTTACAGTGTTCAGTGTAGTGGTATCTAGTCAACTTACAGTGTTCAGTGTAGTGGTATCTAGTCAACTTACAGTGTTCAGTGTAGTGGTATCTAGTCAACTTACAGTGTTCAGTGTAGTGGTATCTAGTCAACTTACAGTGTTCAGTGTAGTGGTATCGAGTCAACTTACAGTGTTCAGTGTAGTGGTATCTAGTCAACTTACAGTGTTCAGTGTAGTGGTATCTAGTCAACTTACAGTGTTCAGTGTAGTGGTATCTAGTCAACTTACAGTGTTCAGTGTAGTGGTATCTAGTCAACTTACAGTGTTCAGTGTAGTGGTATCTAGTCAACTTACAGTGTTCAGTGTAGTGGTATCTAGTCAACTTACAGTGTTCAATGTAGTGGTATCTAGTCAACTTACAGTGTTCAATGTAGTGGTATCATTAGCTGCTAAGTTAAAAATTAAAAGGTTATAGATGGATTAGTTTCCTTGTTTTTTTTAAGTCATTTGATTAGTGTTTAGATCTCCATTAAGTAAGATTTTAAAGGTCTTTGTTGTTGAAGCACACAATTACATACAAACAGTATACATAGGGTGACTGCCCGCTTCACTTCTGTCCGTCGTATTGCTTCATTGGGACAGTTATTAATAATTTACCCCCAACATAACTCAAGATATCGTTCCTCCTTCCAGTGTGTGTGTGTGAGCATGCAGACAACCTGAACCAAAACAATGTAAAATTCCTTCACTGTCACCACAATATTGATAAAAACGTTTTATACCAAGATGATACGTCATAAAAAAACGCAGATATCCTTGAAAGATGAAATCAATTATACAGTAGAGGAAAGAACATCAATATTTTTAGAGTATAATAAATCCACTCTCTCAAGCTGTAATTGTGGGGGGCAATTCTGTGGCCGACCAACAAAGTGTTTAAAAGAAGAGTGAAGATCCAGAGAGAGAGACTGGTCTTCCCGGAGTCTTTCCTGCACCTCTGGGACACGTCTAATGCTTTATTACATCACAACTCATGGGAAAATCACCTTTATTGATTTTCTCCTATTACCAATTTAGTTTCTGGAGGCCAGATCCCCAGGCCAACGAAGGGGGATTGGGAAGGTGGCTCCGTTTTTCACACACTTTCATCGCTTTTTTCACTTACCTGTGTCGCTGTGGGTGTGTTATAGCTCTCACCAGGAACTCCTCTAGACGTTTACAGTGTTTTAGAGCGGGCAGAAGACACCAATGCACGGTAATATAAATAATACTAACCTCTAGCCTTGCTCGCCTCCGTTCAGGCTCACACTCACAACACAACCGCTCTAGCCTCTCCCATGACGTCATCAACATGGCGCCCACCAATATTGATCAGCTGGTTGGTAAATAAGTAGTGCGCACACTTGTCGAATGCCATTGATTCGTCAGAACAAAATATGCCGCTGTATCCTGCTTATATGGCATAATTTGATCTGTAACTGATAATTGAAACCAGTTTTCCTTCGCTGTTTTTGTTGTTTTCTGATTTAGTAACAGTTCTGGGAAAGAAGACAACCTCAACTTTAGTATCGCCGGGCAGTGACTTATTTTTCAGGTTCCGTGGCCACAACGAAGGGAGTGTGCTCAGTTGTGTCTATTGATTCATTCAGATACGTAGGTGTCGTTGAATAGGGAAGACGTGGTCCTTCTTTCAGGGAAAAAGAGCTAACTTTCCCGCTTCCTTTCCCTGGTAGTTTACCGACTGTAAATTAGGAATGTCTGTGAAAGTTAGCAATGAATATAGGGCGGAAGTGTTGCACTATGTTGTGTGCAAGTTGACTTGAGCAACATCGGGCTGCATTTGGAATCTCGTATTCGTGTTTATGTTTCCCTCTTTCCCTTTTCCGACAGTGTTGCCATGAATGAGTGTATATGGATCTATATCTCAAAATTTCCGTTCTTTGTCGGCATGGCATCAGTGGTGTGTTTCACGAGTGGGTTTGTATGGAAGTGACCTGACGTGAGAGGAGTTATGGAGAAAGTGATGGTAAACAGAGGTTCCCTGACCACCGCTGACCAAGTTAAGATCTTGTTGAAGTAAAGATCAAAGACCAGTACAGCACATCACGTTATGTAACACCTGGCTCGCCGGACAAAACCTTACCACGACACGAGACGACTGCACCACACCAGACAAAATACCCCAATTGACAAACCATCTCCCATAATATTACTTACGATCCGAAATTCCACGTTCTTTGATGTTCTGTTATCGTGTTAGGTCAGGTCATATTAGATAACGTTCCTGTCTTCTTGTAGTCTAGGAAACTGTCTACAGATATGTGATACAAAGGGACTGCTGGCTCAATCTTTTCCCAACTGAAGGAGGGTGGATGGTCAAAGTATATGAACCGATCTCTTTAATGTTTATGTAATTATGAGTAAATATATGTTGAGGTTGATACAGGTGTGTGTGTGTGGCTATGTCTATAAGGTATTCAGGTTAAGGAAAGAGTACATGACAGATTTTTTTTCCTTGACTATAGCCATGGGTAAATATCGTACAGCCATGGGTAAATATCGCACATCCATGGGTAAATATCGTACAGCCATGGGTAAATATCGTACATCCATGGGTAAATATCGTACATCCATGGGTAAATATCGTACATCCATGGGTAAATATCGTACAGCCATGGGTAAATATCATACAGCCATGGGTAAATATCATACATCCATGGGTAAATATCGTACATCCATGGGTAAATATCGTACAGCCATGGGTAAATATCATACAGCCATGGGTAAATATCGTACATCCATGGGTAAATATCGTACAGCCATGGGTAAATATCGTACATCCATGGGTAAATATCGTACATCCATGGGTAAATATCGTACATCCATGGGTAAATATCGTACATCCATGGGTAAATATCATACAGCCATAGTATATCTTACACGAGTATCTTGAAGAACAAATACATCATATATTACTATACCTGGAACAAAGACCAGAGACACACACACACAAACAATGGCAAACTGTTCTGAAGCGACATTTTCTCGTAGTGAATAGACTTAGATCTTTGGGATGAGTCAGCATGTTGTTGTTCGTTCTTAATATTTACCTCGTTCCTCGTCTCCCCAACATACACTAACTTACATACATACATACATACATACATACATACATACATACATACATACATACATACATACATACATACATACAATACATACATACATACATACATACAGTTTAATAACCACAGCAAAACAAAATAATGCATTACGAAATATCATTAAATATAATTAACATACATATAACTATTACAAGATTATACGCAATTATAAAACTATCATTACATCATAACAAACTTGATGTATTGTACCGGAATAAAAATTATCACCAAATATCACCATTATTTCCACCATCATATAAGTACATATTGATGAAATAATGTCGAAATGAAGACATTTTAATTACTCTTTTATGATCTAGATAATTAAAGCAGCTAAAACAAAAAAAAAATAATTAACGATAGATGGATCACCTGAAGATTCCCCCTCCCCCCCAAAAAAACACCTGGAGATTAAACACCCTTAAAGCTCTTGTCGATAAGAACCAGAATAGCAAGGTGGGTGATAGAGGGGGCACTCAGAACCAACAGGTGTTAAGTCACTCTCAATAATTAGTTTACCTGTGTAATTTCGCTTCGTTAATTATCACCAAGAAAAATTAATATTTACAGGGTGAAAAAAAAATAAAAGAGAAAACGGAAATGTAATTGCTGATGCTTGACCAAAAACACAGGGAAAAAAATTTGCTGTTTTTTTTCTGTATTTCCTCATTTTAAAATCCTAATTACCCCCACTTAAGTATAAATTAGAATCCCAGCCTAACGTTACCAGGGTACGTTAGGCTAAGGTTAGTGTTAGGTGTTAGGTTAGTGTTAAGTTAGTGTTAGGTGTTATGTTAGTGTTAGGTTAGTGTTAGGTTAGGTTAGATAAGGGCAATTTATCTCCAGGTGGACTATATTTGGAGGAGGTGATAATCTACAGATGATTCCAAATAGAGATTTATTTTTAAGTTATGAGAAGAAACTCAAAAACAAGATCTAACTGGAGAAGAATTTTGCCAGATAATTGACGTCTAGGGAAAAAATAAATACGACAGAAAACATCCTCATAGCTCAAGTGTCTACCAATCGGAATCTCCAGTTAGATAATAAGGGATTTCTATTCGTTAATAAACCGAGTCAGAACCCAATCAGATGCTTCTATCAATATGTCCTCAATCATGTGGCCAGGTCATCCTCTTGAGCCGCGTCAGGTTTGTTTTCACTTACATTTAGTTAACAGGAAAATTCATTAGTGATAGGTTCTTGATAATTAGACTCCAGGTAATGTAAGACTCCTGGTAATTAGACTCCAGGTAAGGTAAAACTCCTGGTAATTAGGCTCCAAGTAAGGTAACACTCCTGGTAATTAGACTCCAGGTAAGGTAACACTCCAATAGGTAGAGGGCGACAAACACTAGTTGGTTCCGGTAAGGATTAAGCCGTCGTGCGTGGGTTGGTGGAGCTCTTTGTTTCTGTTGTGTATTGACGTGTATGGAACTAGTGACGTACGTGTGTGTGTGTGTGTGTGTGTGTGTGTGTGTGTGTGTGTGTGTGTGTGTGGGCGTTCACCTTCGTCAAATAATTATCCCAGGAATGAATTTTCAATGTGGTGACGTCAACAGGTGTTTCTTGTTGTTGGTGTAATCAATATTTTTTCCTTATCAGCTAAAGTTAGCAAGTGTTGTCGCTAAGACCTACCAGCCGCTATAATTAGCACTCAAGGTGATCATTGTACTGATGGATTTATAAGGATCGTACTCAAACGATTAAGTCATTGTAATCAAGGGGTCGCCAATGTACTCAAATACTAAAGTCATATCGTACTTAAAGGGATGTTACAGTACTTAAGAGATTAAGTGGATTGTACTCAAGGAATCTTTTCTGTACTAAAATGGTGATGTCATAGTACTTGTATAAGGTTTAGGTACACTTTTCTCTCCCCAGACACACGGAAGAAGGTGTTGGCGACTCAATGACAACAGTATTAATGAATCTGGTCCACCTGCTCCACGCAAATTGAATCTGTCTGTTCCCTCCACCACACTACTCGTCCACTTCACCACCTCCTTTAATTTCTTTTGTTTTTTTGCTTTGCTTTAACTTAAATTTCTCCATGGTTATAAATTTTGGGTACAATTTCTTCGCGAATATATCACAACTTTCCCAAACATTCTGATGACGAAAAAATGAGAGAGAGAGAGAGAGAGAGAGAGAGAGAGAGAGAGAGAGAGAGAGAGAGAGAGAGAGAGAGAGAGAGAGAGAGAGAGAGAGGTTCTTGCAATATAAATCCCATTACTAAATAATCTCAATCTACAGTTGTTTTCTGTATACAGGTGTTCAGGTGATTCAACAGGTAAAGTCTCTGAGTACACCCACTAAGTCACACTCTGCTCTGTGTATTAGGTATTAAAAGTTATCATCTAGTACCCTGCCCCCCATCAATTATCAGGACGTATACACACAAGCAGGTAATTGGTGGCTTTTATTTAATTGGTTTACCTCTGTTACTCTGACTTTCTTTGTTAGAAATAGCTGTGTCTGTCTGTCTGTAGGGTCAAGTTGTGGCCTTCTGTTATATAAACTTACTAAAGCATAAGTTCACACACACACACACATACATACACACACACACACACATACATACACACACACACAACGCCGTCTGTTTATACTCGCCTATGCGTCTGTAACCATGGCAACGATCTATTTATCCGTCAAGTTTAATTTAGTTTCTCTTCAATCACACTTTAATTCATTTTACTCTACCACAAACAACAACACTAACAATTTCTTTCCCCCCAAAAAAAAATCACTTCGTTTCTTTAATAAGGAGTTATCATAAAGCCTTACTGTTATTGACCAGTGATTCCATTCTTAAATTATTGCATCAATGAATGTGTGGTGGTGCCAGGGTTACGACGCCCAACTTATCGTACCGTATGTTGATCTTCTGAAAACATAGTGAGGGAATATAACTGTTTTTTTTTAATCTATATATATAAAAAATGAATGACTATCTATCTATCTATACAACAAAAATAATACAAATTGTAACAGAAAAATAATTATCAAAATACCAAGATATAAAAAAATAAATAAAAAGTAACCATTTAATTTACACAAGTCGTCATAACAGTGAGAGTCTCTACAGGTTGTATCTTGTCCGGATGTAGAAATGTAAATTACAGAATAACATAAAAAAAAACTAATACACATTATTTTAAAGGAGC